CGATGGTTCACTTTCTAAAAAGGCCATTTAGTTCTCTTTGGAATGATGTAAAAACGAGCGTTCTTGCCCATTTTCCTTCCGAGAAACATGCAAAACGGGACGGAAAACATGAAATTTTGCAATAATCTTATGCGACTCGGGCACAAAACGACGATAATTTTTCTAATTTCATAGACAACAGAAGACTGTATTTTTTCTAATTTAAAGCTGGATCCGGCCCTGGTTTAAAGAGCGCTTTGTTTAGAAATATTGGCTTAAAAGTGAAGAAATCCAACCAAAAGTCCTCCTTATGATTGTTTCAATTTAATGTTTCTACTTGAAACAGTACACAAGACGTTAAAGTTTACAACAGCCATAAACCGAGTGAAATCTCGAGTTTGAAGCCAAATTGAAGCGCACCGGTGCATTTCCTGCGGCTTAATGATAGTTTGAAAAACATTTTGCTCGCTTTATTGCCGAAAGTCTCTAGAAGTCTACTAAACTCCTCAACGAAAATTATTTCTTTGCTGCCTCATAAATCTCGTACGGTTTCGTGGCGAAACAAAATGGACTCGTTATGTTTGCGGAAATAATGCTTGATGGTCTTATCAGCAGTTCGCAGGAGTAATAAAAAAATTGTAAAAATCTCGCAGAAAACACCAAAAATATGTTCTTTTTGTGGCGTACGCTCATTCAATTTCAATGAAAAATAGTAGTTAATTTTGTAGATTTACCCTGATGAAAGTCACGGCTTGGGAGGCGTAAAAAAGCACCTGTACAGAAGCATGGGCCAATTCCTGGATGATTGTTTCATAAAGCAAGTGCCGCCTCAATTTAAGGCGGGTCTGCGAGACGACAGCGACGAAGAGTAATATACCATTTATGACTTTATCTAAGTCAATTTGAATTAGGAAAGTCATCGCGTGAACCTGCCTGAATTAAGAACTGTACAAGTTTAAAAATGAGCTAGAAGCACATTGTCACACCTCAATCATTCGCATTCCAAAAGTAACTTTTTAGTAAATTGCAATTGAGCAATAAGTGCGGGACCTTTGAGCCAATATTTGTCTTTAAACGCTTCGATATAACTGATCCGAACATGTAAATACCCAATTAAAGCGTGTACAGAATCTATTTGATGGCGGGCCCTTTTCTATACGTGTCGACATCCCTTAGCGTGTGTTTACGAAGGGATGCAAGTGATTCAAGTGCCAAATTTTACGATCGGTGTCGTCAAACTTGAATGTTCTAGTGTAAAACGTATTGTAGATGTTGTGGCAAAGTAAATTTTTTAAAAGCGTCCCTGTACTAGGGAGCAGGTATTGGCAAAGATGTGATAAGGAGACGGTAACACGCAAAAAAAAATCCACTGCAAGAAACTACAAAGAGGAATTGACCGTTTTTTGTGCAGCAATGTATTTTTATATTGGTTTTCCCGCAGAGAATCTACAGCTTTCGGGTTCCTGATAGGAACGTCCAAAGCTGTAGAAGTCATTGTGTTACTTACACACTGGAGGCTTCATAAAGATGACCGGGAAATTTTAGCACGCAACTTTTCATAACTAAGCAAGTCGGCAAAATGCTTTCATTTCCGGAATATCGGCGGTTTGAAATTCTTGCCTGAAAAAGCTAGAAACTATATAAAATATTGTGAATACTAGAATTTAGATTTGAAATGACCAATTGTTTTTGCAACTATACATAGTAGCGTAATTATTGATAATAACGAAGAATTGATCTATTAGAAGTTATGGAAATTAGAAACATAGAGATTTAAACTTGATGCGAGGCAGGCGAGGTGACCGGAAAAGTATGGTGTTTTACCTGCCTTCCCTATAACTAAGCATTGATACACTGCTACTTCTGAGAAATTGTTAATGCGGCCTAACATTTGTAAAATTCACTAAGAAAATTGTATAAACGCGTTTGGAAGCAGTGAAAGTGGAGATGGTCAATTCGGGTTAATTGCAAGAATGGCATCGATTTGCTTTACTGCTTCTAAATTTCCCTCGATGGAGTCTTCAAAAGTGTTCACTGAAATTGTATCCAACAAAGCTCTACGCCACTGAATCTTCACTAAAACTTAACTCAGATTTTCAAGTCTATTCTAAATCAACTCGGTACTTAAATAGTGGACCAACTCTATTTTTCCAAAGGCAGATTTTCTAAAATCTAAAACAATAAAATTACATTGCATATAAACAACTTGAACAATATTTAAGCTGTATATTGTAGTGTACAATCTTGAGAAGGCTTCATGTTTCGATAGCAATAAAGCATTTTGTAGAAACTGTGAATTCTTCGAGCACTGACTAATGCTTCAAGTAAACCTGGGTTGTTGGACAGTTTTGCAAAAGTTTCGCAGTTTATAATCAATTAGACAAAATCCTTTTTCGGTTTTCCTAATAGCACAATAGATGTAGATTGTTTCCTTTTGAAGATCATGCTCGAAGCTTTAATACTCTATAGCAAACAGATATATAAAAGAAACTAGAGTATTACTAAGATACCTGATTGATCCTATCAAAGGTAAGTGAGACAAATTTAGTGAGATAAATGTATCTTTGTTAAGTTTTAACTTATTGACCTGTTATTTCCGTCATGATCAAAACAACCTCTATTTGTAGAAGCGAACTGTGAGAACTAGCTGTTAGTTTCCCTTCAGAAGAAAACTATCAAAGAGAAACATGGTGTGTGTTTCTTTCCGAAAAAAGTAAGCACTAATCGTGGATCAGTTGAAAAACAATGATCGAAATATGCAACAAAGCTTGTTGCTACTTGATTAGTGCTTACCTTCAGTTTTCCCATACTTTTAATATGTACATAGTTTGACGCAAATAGAAAATAGTTTAGTTTCCATCACATCCACATTTGTCGAAATAGGTTGCCAATAAAACCCTGAAGTATCTGTGTAGTGTTTGATATTGAATAAAATGCCCTTTTCTAAACAGTTAACCCCGTAAAGCTCAGCAATATTCATATGAGTTGGGGAGAGTTTTCCCTGATCCAAGTGATGTATTTCTTCGTATTAGTGTAGACGCTTGGAACGCCTGCAGCTCCACATTGGTCTGAGCCAAACGATAAAATCCCCACCTGCATGTGCCAACATTTAAGAAAATGTTCTCCAACTCGAAAGCTGGGAAAAAATAGAACCAAGTAAAGTACCTGATAGTAAGTCTCGCTGTGCCTAACAAGGAGTGGAGCGCCTCCAAAGCCGCTGCAAGCATCCTGTTCTCTTTCACCTCCTGCGCATACCTGCTCTTCGGAAATTGGTAGCGTTTTTCCATAAACTCGCTCGCATTGGCCCAAGCTCACAATCGGCAGGAATAAATTCTGCTGTTGAAGTGGCGTTTCTAGTGACAAAAAAGTTAACGTCGCTGACCTGATTTCCATTGGGTTACATGAACTTTGAAAAGATTTAAGTGCTGCATTATTCACCTGTTTGGCCGGCTGTTTTGCCCCAGCCGACAAGAATCCCATTGTTGCTAGTGACTGACCACGATTCCGGCAGGCAAATTGGCTGCGCCGTTACTGGAATTTAATTTTCATGTTTTCTCTCCGACTTTAATTAACTACTTACTTACCTCCATACTTTATTTTGGTTTTGAGCACTAGTAAGGCAATGTTGTGCCGGTAAGTGCCCTTCTCATACCCCGGATGGACGATAACGTGACTAATTGGAATGTCCTGGACTGGAAGGCCGCAGAACTCTTCGCCGCAATCAATGTCCGTATCGGTGGCCCATTCGCCAGCCCTCACAATGGATCTGTTTTGCAGGAAGTTTGTTCTCGAGTCGCATTGTTTGTTACCTTTGTGAACTCACAGTTTGTAATTTTCGGCCTTCGCCAACGGACAGTGAGCAGCAGTCAACACCACCTTGCTGCTGATTATTGATCCAGTGCATGGAAATTTCGTCTCGCCGGTTAAAACATCTGCAATTTCCCGAAGGTTTCAGCCGATTTTGTATGAAAATTTGCACTTACTTCGAAAGCCAATCCGCACAACCCAGGGATAAGCGCCAATTCCGTCATATCCATCTCCTTCCACTTGCGATTGTCCGCATTTTATTCCTTCAACAAATTTGCCTGGATTGGACGATCCCACTCGATTGATCGAGTTGCTTTCTGGCTGCGGACAACAAACTAGTCCAGATCCTTTGTATCCGCAACTTATTTCAGTTAATCTGCAAGGTTTTTTTGCGAAATTCACAAAAATCCAGCAAGGACAGTTGGGAGGGTTTACTTATCCTCCAGGACACATTGGTTGTCCAATATGGTGGACAAAACTGGACAGGATCTCAACGGGATGCATTCACTGGTTGAAGGGCAAATTGCTCTTTTCCTTATTCGGTGTGATACTGGGGTCGGTATTGAATAATCTGAGTATAAAGAAGAACAGCTTAAAAACCGGAAAAGTCATCGACTATTTGGAAAACCTGCAAAAATCCAGGCAACAACTAAAGAGAAATGAACTAAATAGTGACTAGCATTAGAACACATGCCTTACAGATCTGAAACACACCTTTAAATCTAATGAAATTAATTGAAAAAATTAATCAATTCAGAAGGAATCAACGCGGTTTTTTTGCCTCAACATTAGGCTTCAATCGGGCCACTAACAGATTTTTGAGGAATTTTCAAAATTTGAAGTTGAGTTTTTTGTGCCTCAAACCGGAAATAAAAATTTATCTCTCCGTAACTACAAGAGATAGAAGTGCGATTTTCGTCCTCAAGATGATGAAGAATCTTGTTAAGATGCTCGATGAGTTTGATTTCCATCGGAGTACTGAGCGGATTTTGAGAGATTTTGTTGGGTTTTTGTCCGGAATTTAAAAAATGTTGCTCCCAAATCAGAAGAGATCGAAGCACGCTTTTTGCGTCAACATGAGGAAGGGCCCTATTAAGATGCTCAGTGAGTTTCGCTTCAATGGGGCAAATAACAGATTTTTGAGGAATTTTCAAAATTTATTTTTTGTTTTCGTTTTTTGTGCCTCTACCCGGAATTAAAAATTTCTCGCTCCCAAACAACAAGAGATAGAAGCATATTTTGTCCTCAACCTAAGGAATCAAGTAACTAAGAGGCTTTCGAGGAGTTTTCAAAATTTCAAGTAATGTTTTTGTGCGTCTTTTTCGTCGCCTTTCAAGTAGTTTCCAGCACAGGCAAAAATTCTCAGAGACTTTTGTTGTAATTTTACAATTTGTTCAATAAATACATTAATTATTCTAGTGCATTTTTAATAAGGATCCATACAGCACAATCAATTAAATTTCTATAAACGCCGCAAGATTACGTAAACCACCTTGACATTGCTGAAGATTTCAAGGCGGCACAATAAAAAAAATTATGTACAAGAATTAATTGTGCACAGTTTTGAATAACAATAAGCCAGTAATTGGCCACAACTTTATAAGGAATCATTACCGGATTTAATATAGTTTTTATTGGCGTAATTCGTTGATTTAATCGGTCCGATATCACGAACAACTTCTCGAGAAGAGGAAATTACTATTAATAGCATCCGCAGAACCGGTTTAAAGCCTATTAGCTTTCATCAGCTGGTCTTAGCCTGAAAATAACACTCCCGAAATCTGCACTTCAATGTATTTTATATCCGCACGAATTCAGGAGTGTTATTTTCAGGATAAACCCAGCGGAGGAGATCCAGTAGAAGCAAAGACACCGAGAAAAACAAATTTCAAAATATGTACCTACTTTTATCCAAAAAAAAACTATTTATTAACTGTAACAAATTCATTTTTTCAGTAGAAACTATTGTTCTGAAGCATTCCAGCATTTCCCAGTGTTAATCACATCAAAACATGTACAATGAACAATAAATGGGCAATTTTTCCAAAATCACCATGACCAAGGTCGACGTTCAAATTGGGTGGTCAACCATTCAGAAAAATTGCGATCGATGTCTCTAACTCAATAAACAGTATCAAATCGATTATAATTTTCCCTGTCATTGCCAAGTTATATTTGAAAAAAACGAGACGAAATTCGAGAAATAATAAAAACGCAATTGTTACATCGCAGTATTTTAATTGACTGGTTAGATTGTTTTCTCACAGTTATTTTTGCATGAATGATGATCCTGTTTGGTGTGCAAAAGATGCATTTCCACGAATCCTTGAACATTTACCAACACGTAATTCTTCTTACGCATTGTTGCACTGAAAAACGACTTCATTTGCATATGTTGATTTTTCACTTATTTATTTTGTGAAACTTGGAAAAATCCGTGTTTCTTCTTTTGAAATGACTTCTTTGATGCTTAATAATTTTGTCTGTAGCCGATTGGAACATTTGTTAAGAGACTAGAGATCAGTCACCGAAACAAACTAAGGCTACTAATCAAAGATCATGAGTAAAAATTACGGGTTTTAACATAAATCGGGCCGCAGTTAATTAGCAAAACATAACGACGTTGAAAGCATAAAAATCGCCGGATGTTGTCAGTTTAGGAAGAAATGGCCGATGAAACACCAAGGTTAATAGTGGATACGAAAAAGACAAACTGAATTATTGTTTTGCAACTTACGCATAACATTTTTGCGCTAAATGACTTCATGGACAGCATGAGCGAAGCCTACATAATTTCTGCCAAGAAGTTGAAGCGTTTGCAAATTGGTTTCGATGCACTTATTGTTCGTTTAAATTATTCTGCGCTTTTAATGAACTTGCGATTTTTGCCTGGGAATCAACATGCTGATGCTAAATAGCTAATTATCGTTTTACCTAAGCAAAAAATCTTCAATTTGTTTAATTGCAGACAATTAATGCTCGTCTATGTAAAGTGATTCACTTTATTGAAGCGCTTAATTATTTGATTGCTATTCTACTAAAAATAGACGCAAATTAGCTAAAATTTTGTTCCGGAAAAGTGAGAAAGCAGTTTTCCGTTGCTTTGCTGTAGCAAGTTTTAACATTTAAATAATTGGTTTGTTGAAAACATCATCAATAAATAAATTCAGTTAAGAAACTCGAACACCCGAAAAACAGGAAAGTAATTTATTTATTTCCACTCTCTCGCTCAAATAAAACAGTAAATAACTGGAACTGGGTTATTACGGAAATTTGTCTATTTTATGAACTATTCATGAACAATAAGGCTTCCTTCATTGTAATACCAACAGAAAATCGACAACGCAAAGCAAAATTGCCTTTCGAATTATTAAACATCACTGAACCACACGCAAAAAGAATCAACAAGTATTGCTTTGTGAACAATGTGATGGATTGTTTTTTTTTTGGTTTAGTTGCTATCAAAATAGAGCTTTTGAAGCATTTGTCAGTATTACTTTTCTATATGAAGCAATTTTTAGGAGAACACCCAAAATTGGCTACTTGATTCAAAAAGTTGCATATTTGTTGATTCCAAATGTTTAATAAACCGAACTATTTATGCATTTAAATCTTGGATAAAAATTCTGTAATTTAAATGATTTTGATTCAGAAAACTGACCTGCAATGCACAAAGCTTCATTGATAAAAGCGGCCAACAACAGCAAACAATTCACGCTTTTCACTTTACACATCATTCGAGCTGGTGTTTGTTGTTACAGAATAATGATCATAACACAAACTCAATGAGTAAAAAATCACAAACTGCTTAATGCAATAGATTTTGACCTTCCAACTAAAAAATCATCATACATGCGTAACGCGATATGAATTGCCGGATTCAACTTGAAATCATCCCCACTCGCCGTTCATGTTTATCTACTTCAGAGCTTTTCATGCAGTTGTTGAGGAAAAACCAGCTTTGGGTTTCACTTAAAAACAGGGCAAAAGTATCTGATGGTTTTGCGTAAAAACATGCTTTGGGAAAATTTTGGAAACTTGAGATTCTCCCGAAATTTACAAATTATGTGGACATACTAATTGATTTCGATGTCGATGGACATCGCATGTTCACAGGGCTATTTTCTTGCGGCCAATTTAACCATTTTCCCCGGCAGTTGAAAAGATCAAAGCTGCTACCCCAATTTCAATATTTTCCATATGCAACCATGTCATCGCTGATGGCTCTTACGAAGAACATCGTCAATACGTATTTCCTCAATTATCACTGTTTGGTTTTCTTCAGCCAAAGCCCTGCAAACTTCGACTTGAACCTGACACAAGTGCCCATTTTGGCCATAAATCTGGACAATCGCGACAATATAAAAAATATATTTAACTATGCAGGATGTCAGGGATTTTTTCTGCAAGTGAACCAGCCAGTGGCGGTGTTTAGAGCCATCGAGCAGCAGATCAAAGTGCATCCGGACCGATTCAACCAGCGCAAATACGTGTTTTTTGCAACCGAAAATTGGAGCAAAGAAGTCTTTCAGATCTTTGAAACGCTCGAGGCAAACTTCGTTTCTGACCTTACCGTAATATTTGCCAACAGTTTTTTGAATGAAAGTAGCCAAGTGTTCGATATATGGACTCACAAGTACACAGGTCGGACGGGAAACAATAAGCCATTCTTGTTGGACAAATGGTTTGCTGAAAACGCCTCATTTTTGCACAATAACAATTTATTTCCCAACAAGTTGGGCAATCAAGGGGGACGGATGCTGAAACTTGCCGTATTCCCTTATGAACCGTATGTAGTTATTGGTAAGAAAGTTATTATTGGTAAAAAAAGTGTGCTTCTGGTTTGTCGTTTCTTGTTCAGAGCCTCGAGGCATCGACTCCTACTCTTATATGGGATCTGAAATGAAGATTCTGGAAACATTTAGCCAGTACGTGAATGCCAGTATTTCGCCTGTTATTAACCAGGCAGACTATTGGGGCGAAATCTGGAACAACTGGTCGGGTAGTGGACTGATGGGCAATTTGGTTGAAGACAAAGCTGACATTGGGGCAGGTATTTGCCTAGAATTTATCTATAGTATATATCTAGGAAACATATTTTATATTTTTACTAATGAAAATTATGCAGGGTGATTTCGGTTTAGTCTTGATAAGTTCGGGAATCAATAGAACAGATTAGAATAATCGTTTTACATCATACACCTGTATGATGTAAAAGTGTTCCCTAAATCGAGTCGCTTTATACAGAGATTTTTGCCTCCTGTTCATATTTTGTTCTGTTTCTGAGATATATTGACTTGAGACTAGGCCGCCACGCTCACCCGATCTGAATCCTTTGGATTATTTTTTTTGGGGACATTTGAGAGCAATCGTCTATGAAACGCCAGTAAATACCCGTGAATTATTCACAGGATTAAAAACTCTTAAGATAAAAAAATAATTAGAAACAAAAATGTATTGAGGCTGGAGGAATGCTCTGAGCAATTATTTTTATATATTTATTAGTTGGTGAAAGTTCGCAGTAAATCTTGTGTTCTTAAGTACCTGTGATTAAATAATTGTTTGGCATTCTTTTGGAAACTCCAGTTGACACAAATCATTGGGTTTCCATCCAGAAAAAATTGTCACGAGAATCGGATGATATTTTCGAATCGACACGATTTAGGGACAATCTTTTATATCATCAGGACCATCAACTCCAACCTGTTCAATTGACGTCCGAAGTTACCAAAATTGAGCCTGAATCACCCTGTATATTCTAATCATTGCTTGAAGCTGCTTTATACACCTGGGAGTTTGCCTACGAGTATCTCGACCTGTCCAAACCAACCGTACGAACGGGAATCACATGCCTGGTTCCTGCTCCAAAGTGAGTCCAATTATGACCAAACCACCAGTTTCTTTCAAGAAAATTGTCCAGGCTTTCAGCAGGTTGGCTGACGCCCTTTCGGGTTTATTCATTAGAAGCCTGGATGGCTCTGATAGGGACTTTAGCCCTAAGTTTCCTGGCGCTCTATGCTTTGAATAAGTTGCAGATTTCTGTTAAGCCACAACTGAAAAGGTGCAGGAGGAATTATTTTCACCTGAGATTTAGTGAAAAATCCCCGTTTTTTAGTAAACACCACATCAACCAACTGAAAGGAAAATTGCTGAGCAAAACCCTGATGTCTGTGTCAAAGCCATTTGTGATGCAATCCATCACCAACAAAGAAATGGCGCAAGGAAATCTGGCAAAGTATTTGATGGGTTTGGTGTTTTTATCCACGCTGGTTCTCAGGTAATCCGGGATATCAGCAGTACTACTGGGGGAAAGTTGCATAAACTACTGATAATTTCCAGTACCACTTTTGATAGTGGATTAGCCACAATTATGACCGTCCCCAGATACGATAATCCAATCAACACCATAGAGGAGCTGGCCGAAAGTGGGCTGTCTTGGGGAGGAACACAAGACGCTTGGATTTTATCCATTAACAACTCCCTAGAGGTTTGAAGCAGCTGTTGTTTAAGGGAAGGTTTAAATTGGAGAATTTTTGCAGCCCAACTTGATGAAGCTGGTGGCTCGTTTTGTTGCCCACTCAGAGGCAAATCTGCGGAAGTACTCGCTGGGTGATCAGTTCGCTTTCGGTGTGGAACGACTTCCTAATGGTAGAGTAAAAATTTTCCATTTTTTCCATCACTCAGCAGTTCTGGCCCATTCAGATAACTACGCAATCGGAGCTTACATTAAGGAGGACGTGATCCAAAACTACCACCTAATGACCCAGGATATTTATTGGGAAATGTGTGTAGTGATGATGAGGAAAAGTTCAGTACTTCTAACTGAAGTCGACAAGTTCGTGCTGCGCGTTTTTGAGGCTGGATTGATTTCCTATTGGCAAAATGAGGCAATTAATCTTTACGCCTGATTAATCAATTAATTGCTGCATCAACACATTGCAGGCCGCCACTCAATATATGGACCGAACGGTGCAGACAGCAGTGAGATACTACAGCTACAACAAGCGAAAAGACATCGTCAAACTGAAAATGTTCCATGTTCAGGGCGCTTTTGCCATTTTAGTGGTTGGAAGCATCATTTCCATTGCATTTTTTTGCGCGGAACTCGCATATTACAAATTAATATCTAGTGCCCACAGCCCAGTTATTCATCTGGGCGACTATGTTTTATATACGAGGGATCACAAATTTTGAGATTACTCAAAAACCCATGGCACAGCATTATAAAATGAATTTATTCAATTAATCGAATAGAGTTTTTTGAAATTTAAACCGCGTTTGTACTCGCTAAGCAAACCCTGAACGCGCTATTAAATATGGATGTTCTATTCTATGGACTCGATTAGCGTACTAATATTGACACTAAATAAGAAACAATGCTAATAAGCATGCACGTCACCCATATGGAATTATTTGTAAATAATCGTGCAACGATATGGGTGGTAATAATTCTTGTTAAACTGTGTCATTTTCACGTTGCAGCCCTCCGAGTAAGTCCGTCTCCATTGAGTTTACCAAGTGGCAGATTTTCAATTTTTAGCTGAGAAAATGCTGCATTTAAACATCTTGTTAAGCACCATCGTGCAGCAGTACTTGACGCCAAAGTGTGTTATTTTGATAACTGATGGTCTCAACCCCAGCCCAAACGTCCCCCTTGGTACCAATCTGCTTAACGTGAATGTGAACGCAAATTTAAGTAACATTTTCGGAAACTTTGGCTGCCAAAATTTCATTTTGAACGCCAACGATCTCAGTAAGGCATTTGGGGCTGTTGAGTGGGCGCTTTCCAGGAATCAGGAAAGCTTCAATGAGAGAAAATACTTTGTTATTAACCACAAGAACCAGGAGGTGAATGATTTTTTTGAAAACGAAGCAGTGAATTTCGTGGCGAACCTGGTGGTGGCAAATGTGCAGACAATGTGGGCAAAACATCAGCTTTTATAGCCAGATGAAGAGGAAATTGAGGTGGAATTTTGGACGCATCCTTATTCAGGAACCAGCGGCAACAATAAGCCAGTTTTAATCGATAGATGGTTTTCTTGCAACCAAAGTTTCTTGCAGGGAAATGGGATTTTTTATGATAAAACCAGAGATCTGCAAGGGCGCGTAGTGAAAGCGGGAGTGTTTGATCTTTGGCCCTATGTAATTCTGGGTAATATATTCTGGGCGCTTTCAAGCACTTTAATAAGGTTCAATTTCAATTCAGGCAATATTAGGAACATATCAGGCGCTGATATCCAGTTGCTTCAAACTCTAATAAACTACATAAATGCCACGGTGGAGTTTCATATAGTGAGAGATTTGTGGGGAAAGATTTTTTCGAATGGCAGCAGTTTCGGCGTTAAAGGCAAAGTATTTAAGGGACATGTCGATATAGCGTTCGGTAAAGGTTTTGAACAATCCACTAGTGGGAAGTTCTAATGGAAGATATTTGTTCCAGCTGGAATTTACTTGGCAGAAGACGTGGTTCACAACGTTGATTACACGCTCCCTTATTCGAGAGCGGATGTAACATGCTTAGTACCCAAACCAAGGTAAACGATTTTTTTGGGCTCTCTAAATTAATATTTCCCGGTAGCAAACGTGCATTTCATCTAGCTCAAGAACGCGCAATAATTTTTATTGGAAAATTATTCAAATTGCTTTTATGTCTCCGAAGTTTCGTTTAGTCTACAACATTTCCCAAGTCATCATCTCCATGTATGTGAAGGATTCTTACGGCAGTAAGCCGATTTTTTTCATGTAATTGACCGAAATATTAATGCATTTGTGTACGGTTTATTTTAGTATTGTTTGGATGAAAGATTGCAGGTTTTTCAGCCGTGAAAAATATCAGCTAAAGAGCTGTTGCTTAAAGTAGCAAAATTTGCTAAAGAAAACGTGCAAACCGCAGTTCAACACAGGGGCGGATCCAGCTTTAAATTCAGGGGGAGGTTATGTAGAAAAAATACA